ATCAAGGCTACATAAGGAGCAGCGAAGGCTATTCACAGTTAGTTGTACTGAGTCAGTCAGTGAGTCCTCGAGCTATCTCCGAGTTAGTGCCGAGTTAGTCAGCAACCAGTCAGTTGTATTGTGGCATTTGGAGTGTACTAATTGTGATACTGCAGATAGCAGTAATCGTAAAACTGTCAATTGGGTGATTGTAAGTGCGAATGTGATATAAAATTCGCTACATCAAATACGGCGTGATGTTATTTGTCGCGATATACGCCCGATACGCGACAATATGTTTATATTCTCCGTGTAGAGGCGGGTTAGAATACCTCAACCGTAGCTATACGAGTAATGGAAGGCAACGGAAAGGGAACCCAGTGCCTGGGGGTATAACTGGGTTAGCCTGTCCCTGGGGACGTAAGTATAGGGACACGGTCCTCCAGGTTGGGTGTTAGAGGCAAGGCTGACAACCTTGTCACGAAAGAACTGAAAGCTGAATGCAATCTGGCAGAATTTTCTAAGAAAGCCTATGACTCAGAAATTGCTGTTTTGCTAATGATGATGATGATGATGATGATGATGATGATGATGACCAGGTTTATATAACAATCTAGGCACAGGGAGAACATTCGAACTTAAAAGGAATAAGAGAAGTGGGGAATTATTAATGGCATCACAAGCGTCTTTTTGATTAGTGTATTTTGCCGAGTGCTATCCTAGCGTAATTGGTTGAACACTTAGCCCGAATTGGAAACGCATACATAAACATTTGTATGGGAAATGATTTACTTCACGCAGACTAAAATGACCAAGAAAGATATAGAGATGTAATATTTTAATTGACCTTAAAGATAGAGGCTGTGGTAATGTGAACTGATCTTAAAATGTCAAGCCATCCAGAGTAAACATGTAAGGCCATGTAAATACCTGGGTTATTTACAATAAACTTATTTAAACTGAGCAGCTTCTCTTTCCAAAAACCAATAGAAGTGTAACGGTGAAGAAATCTCATAGTAAAATGTAAAGGATATTCAAATAACTAAGAATATTTTTACGTGTTTGGTTTTGGAATTATCTCTTTCGTATACGTATGTTTGGGCTCATTCTGTGTCAATTCGAAAAGCCGAAGTTACACAATATAAAGAGGCAGTGAAAGAAAGCGAACAGGAATACTCTTATATTAGCAGAGAGTCACCCCGTCCTCTTCCTGAGTTCATCCATTAGCATAATTTTCGTCTTCAGTTCTCAAAGTAATGTGCTACCATTCGCCATTTTGCAAACCTCGAACATCCAAAATTGAATTAATATATTTTTTCACTTAAATGTAGGATCTCCCCCTTCTTCTTCTTCTTCTTCTTCTTCTTCTTCTTCCTCTTCTTCTCTTCTCTTCTCTTCTCTTCTTCCTCCTCCTCCTGTTTCTTCTTCTTAGTTGCGAAATATGCGATATGTTTTTCGGTAATTTTTCCTCCTTCGTTCGTTCTGCATGGACACACCATCTCCTCACTCTGTTTTTCAGATTCCGCCATCAGTGATGAAGTAAGGTCCATTCCTCGCCGTGAAGTTTCAGTATTCTTCCCATTCTCCTTTGCCATCTCAAAATATCTATTTAATTTAATACAGCTTCATACAGCTGAATACTTACGGACATAATATGAAATATACAATGTTGGTTCGCGATTTCTTTCGATGCATTTTTATTCCGTAATATTCTAAAATACCGACTGAGCGACCGCCGCTTGTCGGCGAATTTAGTGCCAGTTTTAGCGGATAAAGGGTGTCGCGTGGTCAGCTTAACGAATCCCCATGGCCGTTAATTCGCTTGCCTACTAAAACCAGGGAGTTTAGTTTTTTTAATATTCTAATGTGTTTCCTTAATTAAATGGTTTTTTAAAATTTAATATTTCTTGGCAAATGTTTCCTATTTCTCAATAAATATTAAGTTACCTTAATATATGGATTAAATAAATTAATTTTGTTGATAATCTAGACACGGCTTAAAACACTATGAAGCGGAAGAGCGAATCATCTCTTGATGTGTTAACTTAGTATTGCTGTATTCCCTTAACGCACCTACCCTTTACTGTTCCATTGGTCTAAAAGCTACAAGATATTTGAAATCATTTGTTGCCCCAAAGTGTGAACTGAAGTGGTGGGCCTGTTCTCACTGGCGTACAGTTGCATTCCAGATTTAGCTTGCAGGGAGGGACAGAAATGTTGCTATTATGCACGGCATTAGAACTGCTTCCGGGATCTACGCAGCCTCCAATTTAACGCATTGAAGCCTAAAAATAATCGAAATAATATTTGAAAATTCAGTTCTTCCTAATAAAAGACAGTGTCTCCCTAACAATGGCCAATTAGTAAATGTTCTTTACGGAAGAAATCCCTCTTTATTCGCGGATCACAAGAAACCTGTGGGCAAAATGCAAAATGCTTCTTTGTTGAAGCAGGTGGTACGTATAGTAAGTACTCGTATATTGTTTCAGAGGGATAATTGATACCGGGTACTACTTTCCGGATTTAAAGCGACCGAAACGTGAAGCTGATCACTCCCTTTCATCTAGCGTTGCCTCACTTTTCCTTACGTCTTCATGGCATGATGCTAATTTAAGCATAAATTATAACTTTTGCCCTAAACTGCATCGTGTTGTACCAAATTTAAGTGAAAACTACACGTAACGTACTGAGCCAATATTTTTTACTCCTTTTTGCTAACGCACAAGATATCATGTCCGAGAAGACTGTACGAGTGTACTCTACCTTCTGAATTTTAGTATCGTTCCGTTTTATGGTGTTCATAACTGTGCGTTTTGATATTACTGCATATGCGGAAGGCAGCCATGTCCAGGACGGACCGGATACTCCTGCTTGCGGTTAAATAAAATAAGCTTGTTAATTTGTAAAACTTTATAAATATAAGAATGCTTTCGTTACAACCTTGAGGTGACTGTTCTTATAACTAGACATGCAACCATGTGTTCTGACATCTGAATGTTATGAAGTCACGTAAAATGAATAGAAACACATTCGAATAACATATTTTATCAAACAATGACTTTGCGTTCAAGGCTGAGTACATCACATCATTACCAAAACAAATAAATGCCGCATTACGCAGCAGTAAAATACAAGCGTCTGGCTGTCCATTACACAATATTCAAAGAGAAGTAGACAAACGCATTGCCCCAGCGTTCTTTTCAAAAAGCGAATGATAAAGCATAGATAGAATGATTTCTGAAAGTCATCCAGAAAAACACAGTTTCCCATCAGCTTATGAGATTACGGTTTGGAATAGTATATAGACCTGGTTATTATTAATAATCTTAACATATTAGAAAAACTGGTGTAAAGATCTTACACATGTTTTCTCATAATATGCAATTGACTCCGACTGCGTTACTAGAGAGAAGAAAGTGATTGTTTTTTCGGTAGACAATTGTTGGCTGTTGAGTCCCGAAACAATGTAATCCATCGGACCGGCAAACCTGATATCCAGAAAACTCACATTTCGGTTTCGGGCCACTAGTGAGCGTGCCGTTACTTTGCGGAAAAACCGGACAGTGCCTTGACATTTAGGTACACAGTCTCCACAAATTACTCGATTTTTTCGAGCACTGTTACAGCCGTTTTCGAGAAAGTCGCCATTTTGTGTTTTGGAGTCCATTCTTCAAATGGCCCGTATTTTTGGAGCTGGTATATATAGAGCCGATCATAGTGGTCGTACAGTCTAAGGCATGAAAAGTTTCCGACCGCACAAACACTGGGATCATGGATTCGAATCCCACTAAAGGCATAGATGTTTGTCTTTGTTTTTCCGTGTTTTTTGTTGTCTTGTACAGGTATTGAGCTGGGACTGATCATCCTTCCAAGAAGTCCTCCCGACTCTGTATGAGCTCCATAATGCCAAATTAATTCGACGAGAACAAGCCAGAAGGCGTAATCATCAAGGTAGAAGAAGGACAGTGGAAAGGAGAAGAAGGAGAAGGAGGAATAAAAGAAGGAGTAAAAGGAGGAGGAGGAGCAGAAGGAGGACTAGAAGGAGAAGAAAGAGGAGGAGGAGTAGAAGGAGGAGAAGGAGAAGGAGGAGAATGTACAGCTTTCACAAGCTTCGGCCGAGGGCGGTTGAGTACTTGAATACAAAATACGAATAAATTCCAAGCAATCTCTGGCTCTAGCAATACTCACAAGCATTAAGAAGGCCAGAGAGACGGGGGGAGGGATGAAAACGTGTAACTCCTTCAATGTGAACTCGATATTTCACAATGAAAACAGTTTACACACATGTGTGTATATGAAGTAAAAAGAAGTTCTGGGAAGAATTAACCACTTGTTTTCCTTTGATACGAAACAGACCGCATAGAAAACTACGAGTCCAATTAGAGACCGTGTTCTCTCCGCGAACCCCCCCCCCTTCTAACTTATATAAACAAAATATCAGCACCCCGACTGGGTGAGTGGGGCTTACAGACTCCCAGAGCCATGAGAGAGTAAAATAAGGTCATGAGTCTCGAGAGACACAGAACCCAGAATAACTGTGCTGGCGAGGACCAGCAGCACTTTTCTCGTCACCGTCACCGTCTCGACGGGGCCCGAAGTCAAGAACTTGTGTGCTGGCGAGGGCCAGCAACAGTTTACTGGACCTAACTAGCAACGCAATCTTTTTCTCAAAATGACAGCGGAATCCGAAAGTTCAGCACAAGCCGGGCATTGAACACGATTCTCACGAGGTTGTACTTAACTCCCAGTGCCACGATCTAACTTTATAAGATCAACAAAAATTATCTTCTTTGTGGGGAGTTTCCGCAATCACGTCTTCCCAGAGTTTACTTCCCTAGCAATTCTAGAAGCCCTGCATAAATTACAAATTTCCTAGTTATGTATTATCCTCCAAAGCTACATTTTTTTATTCCTCTGATGACTGAATATTTTCTCCCCGTTCGAAAAATAAACAAGCATATATATGTATTATCCCCTTCGCCACCCCCATTAACATGTCTTTTTCCTTTCTCTGTTTTCAGGCCTGGCCGTTCCCAGCACAATCCGTGATCGATGTAGTCGAATTCACGATTACACTAGGTGAGACAAGGATTGTAGCCTGTGTACGGGTTATAACAGGGCCTAGGTCACAGTGTGTCACCCTCAATCCCTTCCATAATGCATCTTCAACAACTGCCTCGCTTCCTCGTCCCATGCTTCTGCTTATATACGAGTACTTCCCCTCCAGGCAAACCAGAGACCAGGTCAAAACACGTCGCCTGTAGTAGTTGAGACCGTAAAATGAGAATAACACTCAAATTAAAGCATTATCTTGTAATTCAAACAATGTGTCCAAAATATTTTTGAGGATATGTCATCATCAGATATTGACGTAGGTGATGATGTCATCACTAGAAAAAACTACTGTGCTATATTCTATTTTCAGTATGTTGTCACGTAGATGCTCGCGGGACGGGTCGCGTCTCTTGACCTGCGCGCGGCCCTAACAACGTCTGCACTCTTTGGGAAACGACCCATCAGACGCGGAAGGCCGGAGTCACCTGAGAGTTCCCTAGGAACTTCCAGAACAGCGACGAGCATGTAATAAGGCGTTCACTAGTTCGCACAATACCAAGACTCGGTTTATTGTAGCGCATAGCCGATGAGTCAGTAGTGAGTTAGTGCAGTGCAGAGCAGATGAGTCAGTAGTGAGTTAGTGCAGTGCAGAGCAGATGCGTCAGTAGTGAGTTAGTGCAGTACAGAGCAGATGAGTCAGTAGAACAGTCGCATTTCATTTAGTCATTGATTCAGGAAGCCAGTTAGGGCTGGAACACACACAGCGACATCGGTCCTATGATGTCCGTACCGTTCATGTCGCATCAAGTAGTAGAATATAAAGTGTAGTCTTAGCTTTCTCATACGTGACAACATGCAACATCTACCGTACGACAGTCGGAGAGCAAAGAAGAGTGAAAAGGAGGTCGTACGGCAAAATAATCGTACATTTTTCCGTGCGACCGATGTCGCTGTATGTGTTCCAGCCCTTAGTAAGTGAGTCAGTATTCAGTGCAGTGAAATCGGTATGAGTGGGTGCAAAAAGTGAGCAGTGGCGTTATGTAAAATACAGTGAACATTGTGATAAACGGAAAGAGCATAAGAAGTTGCAGGGTTCGTTGAACAGGCAGGACCTTTCTTCTGTAAAGTCGCCTACTCAAAACAAAGGCAAAGGTAGGATTATAAAGTAAAGGCCAAAAGGATTAATTATTAATACATTAAGCACCATGCCATGAAGACGGATGGTGTAAGTATAGTTCCACCAGTCTTGACCTCGGCAGTAGATGGAGGTCAGTGGACACTTTCACGCCCCGGTCGCTTTACCTACGGGAAAACAGCCCTCGGTACCCATTGCGTAGAATTCTGGGTGTGCACCACAGTCGGTCTAGACCGGTCTAGACGCTGTAGAAAAGAGGAAATCTCCCCTGCCTGGAACCGAACCCCGACATTACAATCCGTAGTCTATTGTTGGCTGAACTATACGGCTCTAGGTAAGTATTAGAAAGGTATCCAAAATTCTACAGCAATGCTTGAACATAGCTTTAGCAGCAGCGGCTGCCGTACATATTGGCAAGATCATGGAGTGAATCGTTGGGTGTTCTCTGTTAGGTTACAGTTTTCAGGAGTGTTCCCAGTCCTGCGCACAGTCAATTAAATTCACTGTGTCTGTTTGACTGTCTGCCTGTGTGCAACAGACAACTAAAAAGCTGTTGAGCGTTCATGAGAGATACTGGAGGAGTTGTAATGGGGCATAAATATGACAGAGACTTTACACAGAGACCTACGTTCGTCGCTATGCGTATCTCGATCGTAACTCGCTACATATTTCTCGAAACGAAAATTATTTTAAGCAACCTATTTAGAAAGAAAAACTGAAGCGTACATTTTATGCCCAATACACATCTTCCGTGAATTTTATGTTAACCGAGATAATTAAGCTACAGGATACTGCATGCAGGCCAAATATTCTAAGTTATTCTACACTAAATATTGAACTTCCGAACCACGCGAGGGTTATCGAAGTCTCCTATTGTCTTCAATAATTAAACGAACCCCTTTCTTCCCGAGACATATGCATAAAAACTTATTTAATTAAAATAAAATTTGTCGTTCCTTCGAAGAATTTCATCATCATCATATCATCATGGATTACATCATGCTTGATCTGTTCCGTCCTCTTGAAAAGCATGCTGGTACCTAATTCTAAACCCTTGGGCGCCCTATGTTTGGTCATGTTTTTCGATTGTATTTTAAAATTGTTTCAGAATTTATCTGTATTCCATTCGGAGTATATGATGTTTCCTCTGTGTCTGGATATTAGAAATGTATCATTTAGATTAGAAAATTCACTTATTCCCTAATTTTTGTATTTCTTATTTCGACCTCCCTATTAGTAGCGCTGGATCCTTCAGAAAGGGGTTCAGCGTGTAGACGGTAACCGAGTCTTGTAAAAAAAGAGTTGTACTCAGACTCCTCGAAAGAACAGAAACCGGACTGACAAGAATTTTATTGTCGATCAAAATATGCCAATCCACACGAAAGAAAAGCTTCAGTGTCTTCAGCAAAAGTTCATTATCAGGTAAAAAAGAAAGCGAATTCTGTATTGGATTTGGACTTAAATAAAATGAAACTTGTCCTGTTCACAAAATGTTACTCTTTCTTACAAAATCCATGATAATAATCATCATCATTATCGTCATTACAAAACAGTTCTATTTGAGCCATAACACTCATTAGAAGATCCTGCCAGATTTGCCTTAATTAGATCATACGGTATTCACTCTCTTGGATTTCGCAACAGTATATTTATTTTACACATCAAGGTCTCTGCCTTGCCTCCAACTCCCAACCTGCAAGAACACGTCCCACTGTTTATGTCCCCCAGTGATAAGATGGCCTATTTATACCCCCAAGACACCGGGTTCGCTTTCTGTCGCCTTCTATGACTTGCAGGGCTAGGGTGGAGGAATTGTGGCCCGCCTCCATATGAGGACTTACAGATTTGTTTCGGCGCATATGGCAACAGTGAACAGCGAACATTTGCTACTGAATGAATATCCATTCAGCATGTTCGTAGTCGTACCTTCTTGCCAATTTGAGACGTGTCAGAATGAATTGTTACATGTGAGTTTGGTGATTGTTTGGTATAACGGAAGCGTTTCCCGTAGTCCCAGTTATCCAGGAAAATCTGAAATAAAGCACCTCCAGAATTACAGGTACAAGACGTCACTTCCTCTTCTTGCTTCAGTTATATTTTCCTTTCTCGCAAGTCATTCAAACATCCTGTGTACATCGCGCTTTTTCGAAACGCACCTGGTAAATGCAGACCTACACTTATACATTTACAGTGCTGCTATACGCATATACTAAGTGAGACGAGATGGTCTCCTTCAGATTATGTCTTATGTGCACGAGTGTACAATTCTCTGATTTATCCTCCATTTGGAACTGCCAGTTTCAGAGATGTAACCTGGGATTCTAGAAATTACGAAACTACGCCTAAAAGTTCCTGTATTTGTGAAAAATTGGTACACATTTTTAACAAGGATAGGATTAAAAATTTTCTTTATTTGTATCCTACACGATATTCGTCTAAATAGGAGTAATAAAACAAAAACAAACTCCGTGGCCTGTAGTCCGAAAGCAAACTATACCAACTGAGCGACCGCCGCTTGTCGGTAGTGCCAACTTTTGGGGATAGAGAGTATCACGTGGTCAGCGCAACGGATCCCCACGGCCGTTAATCTCTGTTTTCTAGACCGGAACCACTATTTTCTTAAAATAGCTCCTCAGTTATCCTCACGAGGCTGAGTGGATCCCTTTCCAGACCCACTACCTCTCAGAAAATCTGGTAGTGCCGGTAATCGAACCCGAGAACTCTGGATCTGCAGGCAGGAACTCTGGCCACTAGACCATAGAGGCAGATGAATAGGACTGGTACGAGAAGGAAAGGGTGCAAAATTGAAGTTATAAAATGGATAATATTTTTGCTGCTTCACATATTTTGGAAATCTGTTTTCCAATAGCAGTAGAGTCCCCCCGCCTGGAAACCTGTACAGTAGAATAACAGCAGGTAATGATTCAACAAAAACATGATTCTTGAAGCAAACTTTGCATTTCAGCACCTTCAATGTATTGTGACATGACATCTGAAAGCAGGAATAGTAAAATCAGAAGAGTCGGTCATTGCTAGGCAACGGCGAGTTGAAACACCTTTCCTCAGCAACAAATATCCTGGGATAAACCAACGCCTTACCCAGAGATTGACCCACATTTTCATGGAAATGGCGAATAACAAAGGAACGAACTGTTGTACCTGGTGTTCTATCTCCGGTCCGCATGAAGCCAGCTCAGGTCGAGATACAGAACCTATAGAGAGAGTTAGAGAGAGAGTTCCAGAGGACTGAGGATTGAAGACGGACTAGTAAGCAGACGCTGAAGACTTTATTTTATGCTCTATAGTTACAATAATCCTTAGAGTGTTACAATTACTTGTACTTACGACTTGTGACTATCCAATGAATCGATTTGCCAATCCAAACCCCTTCTACAAGTCACTGATACACTTGAAATTATGTAACAAAAAGTAATATTCCTATGAGCAAGAACTATGGACACAGTAGGATGTCTGATTGGGTAATTTTCCCCAATCATCAGAAAAATAAATGTGAAATTACATTACCTCTAAACATTTACCTTGAACACTTCTTGGATGCGATACACAGATACCAATTACAAATTGTCAGTGATATAATTATGCAGGTACATTAACTGAAATTGCGCAGTTTTGCATTGATTTAAAAACGTAAAATTGCGCTGCTCTTTCTCAGAACATCGAACTTTTTAAGAGCTGTTATTTGAGCAACAATCGCCCCCGCTTGCGACATCGAGATGACGGGCAGTCATCAACAAAATGACGTAACTTTTTTAAGCTGCGTTTTCCTGTAGGCAAGCCATGAGTTTCGAGACGCATCAGCTGCAGACAACAGGCCTATTTTACAGTCATATACGTCAGGTTCATTGATACAGAGTTGTTAAGTAAACAAATTAAATAGTACAGAAATTACCTGAAATATATAGGACAAAGGTTCCGGTATCACATGCACCCTTTGCTTATGTAGTGCAAGATTTCGAAGGTTAAAAATAGAAGTTACAATTCTGTCAATTTATCTATTTATTTATTTTTATATTATTTGTTTATTAAGAACCGCTTTCAATTTGTAAAGGATCACGTGGTAGCATAGCCGGTTGAGGCACTATGCTACAAACTGGAAGGTCGTGGGTTCGATTCCCGATGAGGCCACTGGATTTTTCAATTGACCTACTCCTTCCAGTCCAACTATGGCCCTGGGATCGACTCAACCTCTAACAGAAATGAGTACCAGGAATCTTCCTGGGGGTATAGAGCGGCCGGCGCCTATGGCAGACAACCTCACTGCCATCTCTAAGCAAATTGTCTAGAAAATGTGGGAGCCTCGACGTCTCACAACCCAATGGGCCTCCACGGTCTTCTACAGGGATAGCTTTACATTTCAATTTATAAAGTTATATTGTGTAGAAAAACTGGTGAATGATGAATTGGAAAGGGCGCGGAATTACCTAATAGTGGCATAATATAAAGTACTATCCCAGCATATGCCTGGAAAGATTGCGGAAGACCGCGAAAATTTCAATTAGCATACCCTTCCCCGCACCGAATTATGAACCCTGAACCTTCCGTATATGAAGCAAAAATACTATTTTTATATATATTAATAGCTGTTCAAACACTATAAATAAAAAATAATATTTAGCGAAAAAAATTACTGCCTACAAGACGTAAATAATGCCGTCCTTAATATGTTTAGCATAAAAATGCATTTGTATTCTTCTTGCATGTAACAGTTCAGCTGTTGCTCAACCAGAAATCACTGCATGTCAGGGGAATGTGAGACCCACCAGAACTTATTCTCGTGTCGGATGTTATCTCCTGCAGCACCTCCCAGATGTGACAACCTTCAGCTAACATGCACATCGCTTGTTCCTTACATAGGTGTCCGAAGTTATGTGGTGGTCAACCACCCATAACGGCCACTAATGAAATGCTGAGGCCTAACGACTGTACCGAGTAGACTGACTCAAGCGTTAGAGCTTTCAATTGGAATTCTGGAAGTTATCGGTTCCAATCTTGGCCA